GTATTCTACAAATATTATAACGTGTGTCATGAATGACTCAAATAAAGTGTTTATATATCTATAAAATTTGTAGATAGATAGATATAGAATTTAGTTGCATTACTTACGAGTACAGCACACAAATAATATTAGATATTGGTACATACTTAATAAAAGAAAACAATACAAATATTTGTTTTTATAGATGTTTGTCACATGATGTTTAAATGGCTGATTGGTAAATGGGTAGGCTAAATCCTAACTTAATATATATATATATATATATATATATATATATATATATATATATATATATATATATATATATATATATATATATATATATATATATATATATATATATATATATATATATATATATATATATATATATATATATTATACATGCATTTGTGTATATTCAAATTAGAATATTATCTATATCTACACTAATATTATAAATAGATAAATCCCGACTGTCTAACTCATTATCGCTGAGCTGAAACTGTTTGCTGAAATAGGTATATTATACATTACATATATAATTATGTTTGCAATATAGACCTAAGACACATGTTTCAGCGTTTCATGTGGGAAAGGGGTTGAACTTCGGCAATAATCTTCAAATTGGTTCACTAAATGATTTATATATACATAAAGCTACAGTAAACAGTTAACTTAAAATACTTATTTTGTAATCTATCATCTTGTTTAGACATTGGTCAAAACATAAAATATTTATTATTATAAAAGTATATATTGTAACATATTTTATGTTTCGATCTAATCTATAATACCATACTGATTGGTAAGGTTTGACCTAAATATAACTTTATTAAAGACAAGGGAGGAGTACCAATGCATCAATTGGTAATAAAAATTCTTATGGCGTGGTTGCATAGCTTTGGCGTAACCAATTTGGAAATATGACACTGCCCCAAAAGTGACCTCAATTTATTTCTGTGTCATCGAATCGGTCCAGTGAGGAATAATCATAAACTTGTAGGTTTATACTTACGCGCTTTTATTTATTTTGAACTTAATGTATGACAACAAGACGCCCATTGAGTTACTTATATATTTACGAGTATTAAATTTAATCCTTTACATTTTTTACTCAGTATCCATTTGCAAACAAGTCGATATTTAACTGGTAATGGATATTTTGCAATGTTTGTTAATTCTGATTTGTTGCCATTAATTAACTGTCATTAAACAATGAGCGTCGGCTACTGTAAGAAATACGAGCAAAAAGTGACTTTTAAGTAACAAATAATAGGTCATTTTGTCGTTGATACTTAGTTGATAGGTCGTTACAACTATTATAACTTTTTAACAAAAACATGCGGACTTTTTAAGCAACTTAGAATTGGAATTTCACCTGATTCACCTTTATAAATAGTCGCCTATAGACATGGGTTGTGACCGTGGATATAACAGAGTATTCAGTCATGATACCCCCCATGAATTGCCATTCCTGAGGACTAAGGTGTTATGCCTACTCGTCTTTATATACCCTGTAATTTCACTACTAATTCTTGTTGAATTCGTCACGATGGGCTAATTGACCTGCTTTCATCCTCATCTATCATCTCTCACTGGTGCCCCGCCAGCGTATACTGATAGCGCAGGTTACCATTCCATTATCACCTATTAAAAAAAACTCTCAAATTGAAACACAGCCATTTAAACATAACTGCTTCACGGTAGAAACATGAACGGGACAAAGGTACCCAAGGAAACGACTTTTGTAAAAAGTCTCCCTCTGGTATATTGCAAATCGGGCATATTCTATAGAGGACTATTTTCTACTAGCTGTTTCCTACCATTCCGATCGCGTTGATTAGTACATAAAGTATGTGTTAAGTTAGGATAAAACCGACCCGTGCACCAAATTTCATTTAAATCTGTTTATTTATTTATTTAGCTCTTTATTGCACCAGAAACATAAAAATAATGATATAATTCAACTGAAATACAGTAACATGAACTACAGGGTAAAATATACGTTAAGTTTAGTAGTTTTTGCGACTAAGAGTAACAAACATCCATCCATCGTTACAAACTTTCGAATTTATTATATTAAGTAGTTATATTATTTATTTATTATTATATTAATAAGTTTAATAAAACCAGTTATATAACGTACTTAACAGTCGTTACAGATTTATATATTGTTTATGGGCAAAGGCGAATCGTGTGTGTCGTTTTCGAAGTTAGCTATAAAAGGAAAAATATGGTACAAACTTTGTCTATACATTGTTTTTACATATTGTCAGATTGATGACAAATAGCATTGTTATAGATGGTAATAAAAGGATTAGCAACATCCTCACGTACCTGTTTGTACGTACCATTTGCGTTTTGTTATTGAGGAGACAAATAGTCGTTTAACATTGAAATTTTCTTGGCTTGTTTCTTAAATTGCTTTAGAATTATAAATATTCAGAATATTAATTAGGTACACGACATGCATTTTACAGTTGGGTTTGGTGTAATTATTTGATATTGGTATTTTAATTTGACGCTCATGGTATTGCCTCTCATGTTCGGCGACGTTATCGAAAACTACAGTGTGTTGTGCCTCTGTACCCAGTAATTTCATAACCATATCTTACTCTAAAGTTGAAATATAGTCCCACAAGCATAGTTGCTTGACGGTAGGAATACGAGTGGGACTGAGGTGTCCACCCAGACAACTTTGTAAAAACTATTCCTCTGAACAACTAACATTACAATATTTTACAGATGTGAAATCTGTAAAATATTGTAATGTTATTATAAAATTTTAGGTTAGGTTATACCTAACTGACAACAACTTAAAGTACAATTATTTCTACAAATAAAAAAAATATATAATTACTGTCTTTGTTATAAAAACAATAGTTACAATAATAATAAAAAAATAATAATTAAATTCTGTTCGTAATTGGTATATACTTACCGCGCTTATTTTAGTAGGTATCTATTAAGTATGTATGCAGAAAAAGTAACTAGTTGTTAATATAAACATAAGGTAGATATGATAATACTAATTGAACAATGTCGTTACGATTGTAGGATAAATGTCACCATTCGAAGATCAAGGTTACGTTGTGTTATTTGATTTTTGGATTCCGTACGTAAATATCTAAAACGGAATCTTATAACTTTAAAATATTTATCCATTTTTCGATCTATTGTCAGAGCTTAACTCATGAAGCGTTAATGATTTTCACAGAATTTTAAACAAAGATTTAAAACGATAACGTTTACAAAAATGTCTAACAGAATTAATAGTTGAAATACGTTCTTGAAGGCTCCCTCTAAAATTGGATTAAAAGTTTTTGTTGAACTGAATCAAATAAGGTGTGGTCGACTTGATATTATTGAATACAATAAAAAATGTTCTACGGGTTCTTTTTGTTACTACTAGCCTTTACCTGTGACTTTGTCCGCTTTATTGGGGTATGATCCGTGATCGGTATAAAAAGTAGCCTATATCTTTCTCTATTAAGAAAGTAGGGTATAACTTTTTAAAGTAGCAATACATATGAAATATCTGAATAAAATAACAGTTTTCAATGAATACGTAAATAATACAATGCAAGATTAGTTATCTAGTTATTAAAAAAATATAAAGACATAATTAAATTTAAAATTTTCTTACTTTCCCTATTAATTCTAGGTATATTAGGTTTAACAATTTTGTTTGAATGCTTCTTTCATAATGATACACCAACGAGAATGAAGAAAAACTTAAGAAAGTTTTATGCTGCTTCAGATTGCTATATAAAATACCTAGGTTATATTTATAATAATTTGCATAAAAGTTTGTTTGTTTGTGTTTGTTAGTACACCGTACGGCGTACTGATTAAAAAATGCTTTATTGGAATAAAAAAAGAAAAAATAATTTAAATCTAATAGAAATTTAATTCTTATTTACGGCTATAGCCATAAGTGTCCTCGAACGTTAATTTATAACGATACGGAGCATTTAGAGCGTGAGTACTACTTACATTTATTCTTATTTTTTGCTTTATTCATAAGTTTCGGAAACGCTAAATTGTTATTGTTTACCTCTCTTTGTATATGGTATTGTTTGCTAGACACTAGTATGACAAAAGTCTCAGTGTAGGTGTAGCAGATTCTTATATTCTGAATAGATTTTAATTTACATATGAATTCTAAGAGTGCAAAAATAGAAAAAATAACAATACGTATTCAAACTGGTTACTTACTATTTTTTTACAACGTTTATTGTTATCTTTATACATCATTGTATATATTTATAGACCATTTATTGTTGTGTATAAACATCTATTGAGTGTTTATTGTAGGCATAAAAACAAATAAAATTTTGCTTCTAAAACTACTAAAAATATTATAGAATAAATATGAAACCAAAATTGGAGTAAATTCTTTTAACTGCAAACAGATTTTTTTTTATTTGTTCAGAATTAGCAAAGATGTCACGTAATTAATATGCATAAAATATACAGTTGAATTATCTGATCGAGTTTCGTTTTGAAAGTTCCTTAACTAATTAGGTATTAATATTATCGCATAAATGTACAAAACAATGTTTGGATGTAAATAAATTAATTTGTATAAAAATCCAGAAAATATTTATAAATCCATACAATATTTAGAGTAATTCTATGTCACAACGCCAAAATATGGTAGCCACGACTGCCTACGAATTATGATCCTCAGCAGTGAGGTAGCAATCCAGAAGAAGATACGTAGCAATCCGACCTCATCCTTGTGCAATATAATTTGCACAATTAGTGTCAATTATATAGACATTCATTGTTTTGTATACTTTATTCTGTACGATGTAGTACAACAAATTTTATCGAGATAAAACTGGTACCTAAATATTTGAGTTAATCAAATAAAGTCGACGATATTTACAAATTACAGGAACACGACGCGTATAAACAAAAAGCCGGTTCAGTGTTGCCGGCTTACCAGACGCACAATATATATTTCCGAACGTATATATTCAATCCGAATTTATATAAATACAAACTCTTACCACTCAGTGCCACTGTATATTCCCTCCACTTTCTGTTGTTGCTCATCGCTAACGTTTTCGCTGTTACTCGGAATGAACATTTATATTCTGTGTTAACAAGCCTGCTACTTCTGGTTGACCACGGTGTCACACTGTGTAACTTACTGAAAACACACGCGATGTGACATGTCTTGCTAATAATAGTCGACCACGTGTTCTCCGCGTTTCGTCGCAAGCGTGAATGGTTAGCAGACCGTGGTGCGGTGGAATATTATTCCTGGTTTGTTGACGGTTTCAGCTGTCAACGTGCGTACACTGAGTAGACAGACGTCCGCTGCGGGGCGCTGCTACCGCTCAGTGTTGCCTGATAGTGTGCTATTTGCTTTATCAGTTCACAACTCGGTTACCGAGTCTGATGTCATACAATGGTACGATTCTTTTCACGTAAATTCGTCTAATTTTTTAACACTGTTTACTATATCATGATAAGTCCTATCTTATTAACATAGATGTGTACAAGAGATTTTAATTTGAACTAGTTTGCATTTTGTAAATATTGTCTTTGAGTCTGAAAGTTTTAAGGTGTATGTGCCTCAAATTTTCACTAACATGCTGTTCAACATTAAGATAAATTTTTTTGGACAGGAAGGTGCAGGTGTTGCTGTGGCAAGCTGCTGTCATCAGAGTCATCACCAAATACGATCAATTAATTAAACTTATTTTAAATATATATATTAGTTTGTAAGATATATTTAAATATGTGTCAGTATCATTACCTATTTAGTTGGCAAAACAATAAAAAAAAATAGAAAAAATGGCAGCATGGAATTTGAAGGAATATTTAAATTCACAAATATGGATTTAAGAAGGTGCCCCGATTTCGTTGCCTAAATTAGTGTTTGATTTGGGATTCAAAATTGGCTCCGGCCGAAATTTTGATTTGGAGTTCTTTAATAAAATTTACATACAAATTGAACTTTAAATAAATTAGATACATTATTATCAAATCATAAAAAAAGAGGGACTTAGAATTGACTTGAAAATTAAGAAACTAGTTGATTAATTGAATGTATATTTCGATTTGTTACTTATTTTGAGAGTAGGCATTCCTGTGATACCTTTAACAAAATTTGGTTACGCTTTCTTTAAGATCTATTAAAACAGACTATATAATTGACAACAGTTGATAGTATAACAAATGTTAAATGTCCACTGCAGAACATAGGCTTTCTCCATAAGGGGTTTTTAGCCAATAGATGCCATACTTGGCAGGTGGGTTAGCAACTGCAGTTAGGCTTTTAGTGATGTTCTCATCTCCTTACCACTAAATTACCTTAGTCGCCTTTTACTCTTAGTACATATATAAAAGTAACTTAATGTATAATACACTACAATAGTATAATAAATGGATAGAGTTATATATGAACAAATATAAAATTCTATTTATATATCCACATTAAACTAAATAATTGTAATGCCTACATATTAATAATAGTTAAACGTTAAATGTAAGCTGAGATCTTGTTAAATTATACAATAAGAACATAATTATCTCATAATGACCTACATTATAGGACGACAGTAGTTGTTCGCCTTAGTGATCATTGCTCATAAACTAAATCTCGTTATATTTTTTATTACTACTGATTTATGGCTGTTGATATTAAGCCTATATTGATTAATTGTGGTATTAATTAACGTAGTTATCTTTAATAGTTATTTCAGCTAAGTGAGCAGTCTGATTAGAATCTAATCTTCTTCTGTAACTACATAACGTATCTCTAAATATAATAACGTTATTATAATAAAATTGTCATAGGACTATAAGTTATACTATTATTATTGTTTATATTTATAATAAATTGACTAATCTATATTTTAAAAACTGTAAATACACTACTAGTTTATTTATCATTGACATTATTTTCAAATATTTTTTAAGTTTTTCATCACCATCATCAAAACAGCTATTCACTGTCCATTGCTTAACATAACCCTATTGGGCAGTTTTGCCAGGAGGGTCATGCTTGGACGGCGGGTTGACAACCGTAGTTAGGTTTTAGTGATGTTTAAAGAGTCGCTGGTGACCATTCCATCATCATTATCACCATCCATTTAAGCTTTTGTTGAAATAAGTTAAGTAAATAAAACACGTGTTGTACTTTAACACAATGGATAATATATACGTAGTATAGTAGGTACTCTACTACTATTATAAACTCGAAATTTTATGAGGACATTACTCTTTCATGCAAGAATTACTGATTAGATTTGAATAAAATTTGGTACATAGGTGCGTTCGGTGTATTAGATTACTGATACACCGAACATATCCATGTATTAACCGTATGTATACCTATGTATTATCAGTATTAACTGATTTATGCCGGCGTAGTCACTGGATACAGCTAGTAAAGTTATATGTAGGAATGTTGATGTTAAGAAGAGACTATTCTCTTCTTAGTGCCAACATTCTTCTCTCTATAGGGATTTTAATGAAATTTGATGGTGGAGTAAATTCAATGTATCAGTTAAAAAAAAAAGACTGGTTAAAACAGAGTTGACGAATTTTGTACCTTCTTAGATATTGCTTAAATATCATATATAAAAATGCCTGGCTGGCGTGGTGATATGAGACTATATTAATAACTTATAAGGACAAATTTCTATGGTAAAATATGAGTACAAAAAAATTTATAACGTTAAATAACTAAAGCATTTATTGTGATAATATAGAAGCTATTCATTGATACAAGGATTTAGAAGGGCCACATTAAATCCTTTCGAAAATACGAATAGGAGTTTTGCCAATTTTGTAAACTATTATATATACGATATATAGTTCATGTATAGGAATAAATTGAATAGAAATTTGGATAGGAGTTCAAGTAGGTTTTTATTTGAGATCAGAAATGATGAGTAAATATATGAGCGATAATACATGTTAGACAGATTGATGTAGTAGTAATCTGTCTACCGTGTGTGTCCCGGCAAGGAATAGGCCACCACTTCCTTTCCCGTGGGTGCCGTAAGAGGCGACTAAGGGAGGTTGAAGGAAATAAAACATGCTCACTTCTTTAGATATTTACAATTTTATAAGTTTATATTTTATGTATTATGTAAGTATGTATATATATATGGGTGTCGTAAGATGCAATAACTAAGGAAATTCAAGAGATGAGCAGCAGCGTCCCTCTTAAAACATCTCTAAAGTCTAACTGCGATTACCAGTCCGCCTGCCAAGCTTGGCAGCTACTGGCAAAATCCTCCAAGAGGGAGGCTTATGTTGAGCAGTGAACGGTTAAAATCTGATATGATGATGATAAGGAGAAAAACTGTTTGGGTAAAACTTAAAAATTATGAATGAGACTAATGAATTTAAATAAATTTTGAAAGCTGTTAATAATTAAGTACTTTGCCAGTTTAATCCGGTAATTTATAATTGAATTTTACACGTACAAAGTAACAAGAATAGTGACTTTCTACAGGATTATTCAATTTTTATTTCATCACAACTGTATTGATGTTACCTATGTAAAACCTATTAGTCGATTACTATCTTGTAGTGATTGCAATATCGTATTTTTATATGTATATTTCCTTGATGTATGTTTACCACAATAATGAAATGGTTTCAGTAAACTTGTATAGAACTCTAAAGACCTTGTCACTTCAACAAACATGGAATAAAGATGATGTGGCGTATGAAATTGCTGTGGTTAATTTGATGGTGATTTTATATGATAATATACATTGAAAGTACCATCTATTCTTGACAGACAACTAAATTAAAATAATAACATTTATTATACGGTATTTACGAAATATCTCGTCCTTTTTTTTTTTTTTGATGAGTGAAAATGGTATGGTAACCCCGCCTGCGCTAACGGAATACGCTGGCGGAGCACCAGTGAAGGGTGATAGATGAGAATGAAAACAGGCCAGTTAGCCCTTCATGATGGATTCATCAGGAATTAACCATGATAGTTTCTAGGGAGAACTGCGAGGAGGTCGACCTGGTTGGATATATTGTTAGCAATGGGATTCTCAGTCTCCATTATTAACAATCCCTTTCCCCCTAAATCATATCTCGTCGTTTATCAGTGTGTTCCCAAGTGTATGTGTGTAAGTAGCTTTATATTGCTTAGCAAAATGTATTTGTACACATCAAAATTGTAGGTTAGATCAAATTGTTTAAAGTATAAACTCGTAGGTATCAAAATTTCGATCGATAATAAATTAAGATTGGGTTCTACAAAAAAAAAAACCGACTTCAGTTATGGCGAAACTGGTTATTTTTATTTAAAAACTAAACTATAGAACTGATTAGTTAAAATTTCTATAGCATCAATATGTAAGTATATCTTTTTAGATAAAAAGACCTTTTTTAAATTTTTTCATATTTTTTCTCTCTAAAAATTGGTTTACAACAAACATAATATAAACGGATTGAGAGGTTCGTTCTTTTTGAAGTCACTTGAAAAGATCTGTATTGATATTAAGATATCAAATGAAAATTTTCATTTCGTAGTGTACAAAGAAATTTTATGAATTATTTATTTATATACATTATAATAAAAGGTAAATATGTGTATCAATTACTTCACATTTAACTGTTAACTGGATATGTTAAATTTATATTTGTGCATTAAATATAATATTTTACATTACCTTTTTCCATTATTAATAGTTAATTTGTCAAGTGAACTGCCAAAAAAGCCGTTTGTTGGTCATTTCGCGTTCTGATCTGGATAACCCTGAACTACACTTTTATAATGAGATAAGGATTGGAGGAAGTAATGCATAGGAAGTAATTAGTGAATTAACTACAAGTATTTATATTCGGACATATTATTATATTATAGGCCTTGTGGTCCCGGCATAGAATAGACCTTACCTTTCCTTACCCGTGGGCGTGGTAAGAGACGAGTATGGGAACTTTTGGGCAGCAGCGTCCCTCTTAAAATATCACCAAAGTCTAACTGTAGCAACTACTGGCAAAACCCCCTTTTATGGAAGAGTCCCATATTCAGCAGCGGACAGTTAACAGCTGATATAATAATAAAATAATAATAGGTGTAAATAATAGTCAAGGTAATTTAATTTAGAGAAATTTAGATACCTGTACGTAATTCAAATTGATATTTTTGCGAAATTATATATAGGTATATTTTATTTCTAAAAAAATAGTGACCTCAATATTACTCATGAATGTTGAGAAGGTTTAGAGATAGGTATATTAAATCGAAAGTATTTAATTAAAATTGAACAACGGGAATTTATTAAAACTTATTATATTTAACGTTTTGAGCACTTGTTTCGACTTC